ACACTGGGCGACCCAGTACAAGGAATGTCTCATTATCATAAAGAAATACATAGGCTACTTTTAATTATGAATAAATGAATCCCGGTCGGATACAAAGTTTTTACTTTTGTTTTTTTGTATTTATTCAAGTTTTTAGTTTAAAAAAAATAAGGAAATTACTACTTTTGGCCAAAAACTCCGAGCAAAGTTCGGTCGCCCAGGTATTGTAATATAATAATTTATATTGAAAATAAAATTACAAATAATTTTGTTTAATACTAGCGACTTAAGCTCGGGTGCAGACTTTTTTTTTATTTTTAATTATTTATTTATTTGGATCCACTAGTGATAGTTAGCCAAGTCAGGGTCAGGAAAAGCTCAGGTAAAGAGTATTTCTGTCAAAGAAATTCTCAGTAACAGTCTAGAGTAGGGAAGTCGGCGGCATCCTCGTGCCTCGAAGAACACGTAAAGCCGTCGGGCCTTTGTCTTAACTCTCACTGGTCGTGTTGAAGTATCGTCCCATCGGACTTTGTGAGTAAAAGAAATAGAGAGTGCACTTGTGTCTCCATGCACACTTGTGCACTATAATTATATATTTTTACCGGTGGTAGGACTCTGTCAAGCCTGACGAGTCCGACTGGATGGGTACCACCCCCTTATCTATTTCTCCCGCCAAGCAACAATGACTACATTGTTGTGTTCCGGTTTGAATGATAAGATAGCCAGCGCAATTATAGGCAAGAGGCATATCATCTTAGTGCTCACAGTGACAACGCACCTGCAGTTCTGCATTTTTGTAACATAAAACCTAAGTGCATGAACCGTAGGTATTATGAGCGACACGTACTGCTTTCTATCAGGTGGTCTGTCTGCTCGTTTGTCACTGAATACCAAAAAGAAAAAAATATATCTCATCTGGCTCTGGATCGGATCTGACTAGTCTCAGTGAGATTGGCCGCCGTCGCCAAAATCGGTCAGGAGGGCATTATTATAATAATACCCTGTATGTTACTCTAGGTCTAAATCTATATTTGTACTAAATTTTATTTAAATCCGGCCAGCTATATTAGCGAGAAGGAGTAGTAGACATAATATACACATACAGACATTAGCACACTTAAACAGACAAAAACGAACTCTTTAGCTTTATAAAATTAATATGGATACTGATAACTTAAAAAGATACATTCCTTAAAAGTGATTTTTTATATATGAGTAGATAGACAGACGTGTAGCCTTAGGGACGGTGTAGCTTTAGGCCTGGGGTCTGGCGTTAAGGTATAAAACCTAAACAAATACGAAGTCGGCTAAGTCGTATTCAGTAACAAAAACATGGTACACGCTCTTGCTTATTAATATACAACGAAATATGCGACTCTTGGAAGGCACGTTCGTATATAAAATACGTACATATGTATATTGAAGAAAAGTATAGAATTTAATAAGTTATTTGTAGAGCGTTGTTCACTTTGCCTGCAATACTTTCAAGGGAATATGAATACAGAACAGTTACAATTATCTGTTTTTCTTTTTATCTTCTTGAAATATTTTAAAATGAAACTATCTTTTTGAAATTTGTCGCGGTTTTATTTTATGTTTTGGTTCCTCTCGTTTTGATTTCTTTACTGTTACAGCAAACATAGTCACGTGACAAATTGTTGTCGATTTTCAAATTATTTTGAATCTGTAAGGTTTCATCAGAGTCGTGTATGAGCACATACACGTCGTCAGGATGATCGAGTTTAAAGTTTCGCTATTTTAATATATAATAAGACAATCAGTAACTGATTATACCGACCACACTAACGACGCGAATGCACAAATTACAGATACCTTTGTAAATCAGGCAGTTAAAAATTACGAGAATGAATTGATAGATAATACATGGGTGGATGCTATCCGTGATTTTTAACTGGAAAAAAGAAAAAAGAAATTGTTGAGAATAAGTGTCATCTAATAAATTGTAACTAAATCTAGTTAAAATATATAAATTTTGAAACATGATGTTGGCTTTTCCTGAGATATCCTACTAATCTTACTAATAATTTTTGAAAAAAATTAAATTTGAAACTTTTTTTATTTTAATTTTTTATATTTACAGCGGTATTGAAAAGTACAACTTCATCAATTGCAATTCATTATTTACTGATAACCACAGCACAAGAATTCTGTTTGTCTTTACGAAGTAAATACTCAATCTTCTTCAGTACAAAAATATCTTCATCTTAGATGTGGTTGTCTGAAACATTCGAGCCCCTGATTATTTCTCAATATTATAAAAAAATCCAAATCAATAGTAGTTCAATTTTACCGCCAAAGTTCCAGACATTGATTATATATTTAAATTTCCTATTCTTGAACTTACTCAATTACAAGGTAAGTCAACTGTCCGATTGTCGCGTCTAACTTAGTTAGAACTTGTAATCGAATGTGTGAATCTAACCGTGGAGCGAATATTAATTCTTGATCTGAAGTAGGTTTTATCAATATTTACATTCAAAATCTAAAGGATTTGTAGCATTCTAATTTAATTATGTCTTTCGTACAACCATCTTAGATAATAACTTTTTATTATTGATATCTCTAAATTAACACCTCCAGGTAAATTTCTAAGAAATTAATTAAAATTCTAAGAAATCTATTGTTAGCTGACACGCCGGCGTGTCCGCGATCGTGGAGGGATTTATTAAAAAATATATAAATGACCATATGTTGACCCGGATAACCAGCTATCACCATACCAAATTTCATCAAAATCCCTCCAGTGGCTTTTCTGTGATACGATAACAGACAGATAGACAGACAGACAGACAGACAGACAAAAATTCTAAAAACTATAGATTCGGCCTCTGTATCGATAATAATGTTTATTTCAATAAGATTTTCCAAAAGATATTTAATGTACAGATTCGGCTTAGTTACAATTTTATTATATGTATAGATATATTCAGACATAATTAGAAATGTCATTTACATATATTTATTGGTTTTTCTATATATTATTTATTCAACATTATACTGTTATACCATTTGCTGTAGCCCTAGATACATAGAGCCAAAGTGCTAAATAATTCTTAAAAGACATAAACCCTTATCGCCTCTACAGACAGAAGACCTGACTCGTTTTTCGCTCAAGAACGGCATTGCCATTCAACGGGGAAATGCAGCTAGACTATGACTTGTACAGTAATAATTAAGTGTACATATGTTTTTTATATAGATAAGTATGTTGTAATGTATTGATTAGTGTTATTAGAAATAGCGATTGCAGAATGTAGACAAAAAAATTAAGCTAAATTTATACATTAATTCTATTGTTCTTACATCTAACGCTAATAATCCCTCAACGACCGCGGACACGCCGGCGTTACAGTTAACAATAGATTTCTTAGAACTTTAATTAATTTCGTAGAAATTCACCTGGAGTTGATAAATCTATAATAACCAATTTCAAACGTTTTCCGCGATTAATTCCAAAAGCACATAAAAGTAGATAGTAAAGTCTATTTTTTTTTCATATTAACATGGTATTATTGTCAACATGTCGAAACATTGACTGCATAATATAATCTCCATAATACCATCACATCACTATTAGGCTCCATGGGGCCTTTATTAAACCTGATTAGATCCCCTGCGGACTTGCTTCATATTATATTATATTGGTAAATATCTCATAAGAGGCTTACAGCTAAAGCGTAATATATGTAGATTAAATAGCAAATTAAACGTCAAGGCTAGAATTGCCTAGCATCATAAAATTGCCTATACTTTGAATCTGTATAATATATCTACTAGATATTAAAATATACTAAGTATTAAAAATACTCCAAGTCGTGGTCATTATATAGTTTATCAAGGAATACTCGGTTAAAATGACGAGAAGAATAGAGGAAAAGAGGCTTTGTTAACTCTTATGTGAATAAAGACTAAAGCCATCGGAGACTGATGAAAACGAATCAAAATATACTTTATTCAAATAGCACTTATGAATTGTCTTTATTTTTTATTTTTAAAACGTACTTAAAAGAATCAGCGGAAAACTCAACAGTTGATATTTAAAAGATATCTTAACAATATTGCAATACAATAATTACGTACCTACTTATTTTACGTGAGTATCAACTAAAATAAGCTTCACATTTACATCGGCAAAGCATTTCGTAAGGAAACATGCTTTGGACAATAATCTCCAGGATCATGTCGGGTTGTTAGCTATGAGAGTGAAAAGAATAGAATCTGCACTTGTAATTTACCAACACACCGTCCCACGCGTGCACTGCACTATATTATATTACTATTTCTTCTATCCACCTAGTATAAGATAATATCATTGAAATTGATCGCAATTCAGCTTATTACGTTGAACTTTGACAGTTGACTCGTCCAACAAGATTAGATCAAAAGCGAGATCGAAATCAGTCCGGAGGCTTTATAATTATTTTATTAAATGCCGTTTGTTCCTTAGAGTTATCTGATTGGCTTATTAAAGTCTCAAGGTTGTTAGTTATACAAAGATTAATTTCATTTATTCGATAAACTGCTCAAGTCCGAGAAAGTATTTCGCAGAACAGTAGGTACCATAGAACTACTACTTACCAATATCTTGGATAAATTATTTTATTTAATAAAAAATATTATACAAATTGCTGCGTTATGAACATGGTTTTTAAAAATAAAAAGTTTAATAATTTTTTTTTACTTTACTTAATCCTTTTTTAATACGTTGTATGAAAAAAGAGATTGTTTTATTTTATTATTAAAATTAATACAACAAAATAAGTTCTTAGAGTTTTGCAGTATGATATAACTAGGAGCTTACCCAGTGGGTCTCTATCTATCTATTTGATGATTAAATTTCATCCAAATCCGACCATCAATTTCAGCGTGAAGGACTAATAGACATACACACATACAAACTTTCGCAGTTATAATAATAGACCCATTAGTTGTCTTTAAATAAATACCCATGTCAAATCGATGGAATTACTAGTTTATTAACAATATCTTTCAATTTCAGAATGATCTACACGTCTCTCATCATACTCCTGGCGGTGGGCGCAGCAGTGTGCTTACCTGAAGTACCCCAGAATGACCAAATCCATCAGGACCCCCTAGCCCTGTCAGATCCTCTAGCCTTGGAGAAAAGATCGCCACACTACGACTTCGGCTTAGGCAAACGGGCCTACAGCTATGTGTCTGAATACAAGAGACTGCCCGTCTACAACTTTGGATTGGGCAAAAGGTAATTTATGGATAAGATAGTATAGCATCTTAGGGGAATATTTTAATTTTTGACAAGTGTTGCCCACTACTCTACCTGTTTTTAATTTCTATTTAGTTCATATTTCATAGTCACTAATCAAGCTATGTTCTCTATAAGCACCCATATACCCATATGAATTCGAACATAAACTGGTATTTTGAGTCTACACAATTAATTGAAATGAAACTTGGCATTGTTTTTAATTGAGACAATTTAAATTAAAAAATATATTATATGTACTTGTGGGGAAAACACTCGTAACATACAAAAAAAAATTGAACTCCTTTTTAAAGTTCCAACTTTTAATAGTAAATTTATTTACTTATTCAAAAACAATGTAATGTAGTTTAATCTAAGAGATAACGCTATGAAAATATTTATTTATTTATTTATTTATTTACTTCTTTTTACACATTGTATCAATTCAATGATCACTTGTGTACGTCAATTAGAAGACTTAAACTAAAGCTACGAGGGTTCGTAACGCGCCCTGGTCTGAGAAGAACCCACAAGAAACTCAGCCAAGTAACATTTTTTTTTTATTGTGATCATTGTTTCACAAACATCCTTACTTCAGTATAAAGAGCAATTCATTCCCAAGCTTTTTTATCACTTAAATAATCCTTTACATTATAATAGGATTTATTTATTAATTGTCTTTTAATGTAAATTTTAAATTTATTTATTGACAGTTTTAAAGTATCATCTGGTAGTTTATTGTAAAAGCGAATACTATTACCAATAAAGGAATTACCAATTTTATGGAGCCTAGTGGTGGGCTGAACTAGCTTATTTTTGTTTCTAGTGTTTACATTATGCAGGTCACTATATTTCTTGAATTTATCAATATTTTTATGTACATATATTAGATTTTGATAGATGTATTGGCAGTGTACAGTCATTATTTTAATTTCTTTAAACTTATTCCGCAAAGATTCTCTTGGGCCTAAATTATATATAGCTCGAACAGCCCTTTTCTGCAGCACAAAAATTGTGTCAATATCAGCAGCATTACCCCATAGTAAAATACCATATGACATAATGCTGTGAAAATAGCTAAAGTATACTAACTTAGCTGTCGTTACATTTGTTAATTGACGTATTTTCTTAACCGCGTAGGCTGCAGAACTGAGCTTATTCGATAATTGAGAAATATGAGGGCCCCATTGGAGTTTGGCATCTAATGTAATGCCTAGAAATACAGTGGTATCAGCTAGATCTAGTTCCTCATTATTCAGTCGTACATTGGTTTTTACACTTTTAACATTTGGTAAAGTGAATTTTACACATTTTGTTTTTTTCTCGTTTAGTAAAAGGTTGTTGACATTAAACCATTGTACCACTTTGGATAAAGCAATGTTCACATCGTCAATTACTGCTTGTCGTCTGTTAACTTTAAAAACTAAAGATGTATCATCAGCAAACAAAACTATCCCGTGGTCATCCTTTACGAGGTATGGTAGGTCATTTATATAAATGAGGAACAAAAAAGGACCCAAAATTGAACCTTGTGGTACACCCATTTCAACAACTGATCCAGGGGAACGCTTTCCATTCACGTCTACCCTCTGGATTCTTTCATTCAAATATGATCTAAGTAAATCCAGAGCCTTATCTCTAATTCCGTAGTGGTGTAATTTTCTGACCAACGTTTCATGATGAACGCAATCAAATGCCTTGGACAAATCACAGAAAATGCCAAGTGCATCACGTGACTCCTCCCAGGCCTCAAATATATTTAGAAGTAACGCGACTCCAGCATCGGCTGTTGAACGACCGCGAGTGAAACCGTATTGCTTTACATGTAATAGTTCATTATTATAAAAATGTTTCGTAATTTGAGTTAACATTATTTTTTCAAAGATTTTACTAAATGTAGGTAATATTGAAATAGGCCTAAAATTAGTGGCATCAGAGGTACAACCCGATTTAAACAAAGGAATAATTTTACTAAGTTTCATTAAGTCAGGAAACACACCAGATTCTACACACTTATTAAATATTAATGCTAAGTCAGATGCAACAACATCAATAAGTGGTTTAAGGATGCTAACAGAAATTCCCCAAAGATCTTTTGTTTTTTTAACATTCAGTAATTTAAATACATTTATAATTTGTTGTGCATTTATATTTTCGAACTTAAAGCTAATATTGCATTCTTCCACATTTTGTTCCAATAATTTGATCGCAGTGGCAGGTGAAGAGTTCAGAGACCTAGTAGTGGAAACTGGTATGTCGGTAAAAAAGGTTTCAAACGCGGCGGCTACCTCAGAGTCAGAACTAATGTATTTATTATCTATATTTAATTTAAAGCTATTGTTTAGAGTTTTACTCTTTCCAGTTTCCTCGTTAATTATTTTCCATGTAGCTTTAATTTTATTACCACTATTTTCTATCTTGTTACTCAGATAATGAGACTTTGCCATTTCGCAATCCTTTTTAAATAATTTGGAAAATGATTTAACTTTGTCTCTAAACCGTTCACTAGTGTTATGCTGCCTTTCTGCGTACATTTCGTATAATTTTTCTCTTTTTTTTATATAACTCTGCAGTTGCCCACTCACTAAATACCAATGTATCAGAAACTGTAACCGATTTGGTAGTGAATACCGAATTGTAAAGTTTACTAAAAGATTTAAAGAATTGGTTATACATCTCATTCGCACTTAAATTATTACTTAATAATGGTAAATAACAACTTAGGTCATTTTGCAATTGAATGAGTCGGTTTGTAGTTACTGGCACAAAAGAGATTTTCCTCTTTGTGACAACATTTTTATCGATATTAAACTTTATTAATTGACCACAATGATCAGAATCTATCTTACTAATAATATTTTTAGAAATTGGTGTAAAGTTGGTAAAAATGTTGTCTATACAAGTGGCACTAGTGGCAGTTATTCTTGTTGGCTCCATAAACATTTTGGAAAGATTGTGTGATGTAAAAAGGTTAAGTAATTTCATACTCAAAGTACTTTGTTCTAAAATATTTATGTTAAAGTCTCCACACACAATCTTTTTCTTATTAGAATTTGACAATTTATTTAACATTACATCCATAACTGTTTCAAAAGTATCATAGTTAGATGAGGGAGGTCTGTATACACATACTACAATGAATTGCTCTAACTCTACTGATGCTAATTCAATTGTACGCTCAACAGAGAGGCTCACTATGTCTTTACGTTCCTTATATTTCAACAATTTGTTCAGTATTATTAAAGAGCCACCATGTATGGAATTCGCCCTGGTAAACGTACTACCAACCTGGTGGTTACTGAAATTAAACATGATTTCATGAATAGTTTATATATAATAAAGTACGTCTTCGCAGATCCCGACCATACTCTTTTGGCCTGGGCAAGAGGTCTGTAGATGACGAGCAGGTCGAGGAGGAGTTCCCCAATGACGTCGACCAGCGAGGCTTTGCTGAAGCATTTGATCAATATGATGATACACCAGGTACGGTCTCCAGGAAAATTTTATAAGTTCATAATATTATCAAAAATGTATACAGTAATTAAATATTACTCAGTATAAAGACCGGCTACGAAAGCCGCTTATAATCGTGTGTATCGTTTACTTCTTAAACTATTAAAACACATTAACATACAGTTCCATTTCCTACTTTCCCATGCTTACTGATAATTTAATTCGACGACATGTTTGGCTCAGTTTGTAGTGACCCTACTTGCTGTGCCAGCGGTCGCGGGTTCGAGTCCCGCTGGGGGCATTAATTTGTGTGATCAGCACGAATATTTGTACTCCAGTCATGGGTTGTTATATTTATAATGTGTATGTATTTAAAAAAGTTATATGTCTGTAGTGTTTCAACTATCTGGTACCCATACCACAACCACAAGTCTCGTAGTTTACTACGGAAACAGATGCTGCTGTGTGATAATGCCTACCAATTAATTTTCCATTTCTTTTTAAACGATTTTTTCAAAAAGGAGGAGGTTCTTAATTCGGCTGTATGTTTTTTTTATGTTTGTTACAAAGAACTTCATCATTTATTAACCGATTTGTATAATTTTTGTTTTGTTTGAAAGTGTATGCTTTCAAATTGGTCCCATTTTAATTAAAAAAAATACCACCCCTAAGGGTGAAAAATAACTGATTTGTACTTTTCATTTACTATAGATACCTAATGAAATATTTTCGAAGTCGGTGCCAGCCGATACAAATAAAAGCACACCAACTTCGAAAATATCTGATTAGGTAACTAGTAAATGAAAAGTACCAATCAGTTATTTTTTACTTTTTAGTGGCCTTTTTTAAGTCGGTTTTTATATTTTGTTTTAAAGTTTTTTGTTTCAATTTTTGAGCGAATATATCTTTTCGATTCAAATACCCGTCCGTGATCACCACTAGTTATACTAATTAAAATGTAAAAATTGCAAGGTATCATTTCATATTCACTTTCATTTCAAATACCAATTTTGCTAAAACAGAGATTTACTTAGATGGCATCGAAGTTTTTTTTTAGATTTCTTGCGTATCAAAAATTAAAAGCTGACGTCTTTCTTTAGTAACAATCTCCCAAAATATTTACTTTTGATGTTACCGTTTCTAACGCAGACATTCTTACAGGTTTTGAGAAGCGTGCTCGTCCTTACAGCTTCGGACTTGGCAAGCGAATGAACGAGGAAGAAAATACTGATGACAAACGCGCAAGAATGTACGACTTTGGTCTTGGAAAGCGACCACATCTATACAGCTTTGGTCTCGGGAAACGCGCTAGAAGCTATAATTTCGGACTTGGCAAACGTTTGAGCAGCAAATTCAACTTCGGCCTCGGAAAACGGCAGAGAGACCTCCATAGGTTTAGTTTTGGCCTCGGCAAAAGATCAGAGATTCCTTTCGACGATAATGACAATTACTTCGATGTTTAAACTATTGATGTTATTGGAAACTTGTGTGGAATAGTTAATTATTTAATTATAATGTATGTAATTGTATTATAATATGAATTTTTAATAGTAATAAGCGGCGTTCAATTTCAATGTTTGTAGTTTCATTATATTTTTTTAAATTAAGTTTTATCAATGTTAACTATCACTTATTCTATATGAAAGATTTGAAGTCCATTTAATTAATACTTTTATTTGTGAAAATTACAGCCAATTTTCATATTTAAAATTAAAACTTAAAAGTTAGATTCTGGTAGACTTTCACGTGAGTTTTCATAGTAGTGGAATATAAGTTTGATTTTAACCACAACAGGACTGGACATGACGTTTTAACTTTAACCAAATATATTAATTAATTTTAAATTGTAAATTCAGCCGATAGTCTGTGTTTAAATACATTATTTATTTTGTAAATCATTGTTACTGTAGTTGAATAGAATTGATAAATAAATCTAAGTGATTATGCTTAAATATACATAGATGTACGAAATTGAATTTGGAATTTTATTTTTTTAATATAAATAAACAAAATTTTCGTGCCAAAATTACCAGGAATCCTAAAGCTGTTTTTCCCATTTCCCAAATTTTTCCGTTTCAAAATTTATAAATAGATTCAATTATTACTTTCAATTCAGTATTTCGTAGATCTATGACTTACTTCTTACTAGCTAAGTATGTTTCTTGAAGACTTATTGAACTGTTGTTTTAAATATAACCACTAAATAAATATACATGATTATACAAATCATAGCGATTGCATCATTCTGCTTTTAATTGTCACCTTTAGCCTTAAAAAGTAACTGGAAACAACTTTTTTTTTTCTTAAATATCTAAAAATATTTCAGCACAATAATTCAATTAACATTCGAAAACCCCTACAAATTAATTTTAAATTACAAGAGATGTCAATTTTGAGGTCGCCAAAAGGGAGAAACGGAACCCTTATAATTTCTACCTTCACTGTCTGTATGTCACAATCATTTTACTCAGAGATTGTTAGAGCTGTATTACAAGAAAATTTGAATAACAGACCTTCTAAAATACTGGCATTACATAACTCATTACGTTACAAATCACAAAAAAATTGTAATTCATCAAAGTAAAAAAATTCGCACATCTCTGAAGCAGCCAGTAATATATGTACTTAGAAAAAAAATGTTCCTTAAGGACGATTTAACTGAAGCTTAAGAGCAATAATTAATCGATAACGTATCGATACGATATTTAATTGCTTTAGTAAAGTTTTCTTAACTAAATCAAAATGAGAAATCACAATACTATTCTACTAAAACGGCTGGACAAAGTTCAATTTAGATAGACTATGACCTGGAGTAACACATAAGCTGCTCAGAGATACATATAATTTGGCAAAAGCTCGCAGCACCTTTAGATGCGTACTAATATTAATGTGAAAGTGTGTTTGTTTGTCCTTCTTTCACGTCGAAACATAGTTTGAGGACTGGATAGTGATATATGCCACTTTTTACCGCGGGAGATTATCTCATTCCCAAGGGAAAAAACGTTACAACACAAAAAAATATTTATGAACAGAATTACTTGAAACTTGGTATTAATGCTCTTTAGTACAATTACATAAACACGTGTTTCAGTATTTTTCAAAATTCATCTTATAAGAGGGTAAAAAAGGCATGACATATCGTGAAATTAAGTTCAATATTCTTGGAAGTTTAAACTCTACACGTTAAAACGTCGTTTCACGTCGAAACAGAATGACGGATTGGCGTGGTTCTGTATAGACATACATAGTTGAAGGGCTGAAGAGTGACATACGCTACTTTTTACCGCGGGAGATTATCTCATTCCAACGGGAAACGTTATAATACAACCGACAGCAACTCATTATACCTATGTATATATGTAATATAATATGGTTTATCTATTCCATATGAACCGTTAGAATGTACCTAGGGACGAGCCCACGCGAATCGAGGGTGAGCTTCTAGTGTTTTTATGAAGCAAAATAAACTATCAATTTAGATATACAATATGCTTATGCCCGATATTAGTAAAGTACATGAACAAATAAATAGAAAACTAGCGACATTTTTAGTTGAAAACAATTAATTAGTGTCACTAGAAAACGTGTTTTGGGATTTGGGTGTCATAAATATTAAATATAAACGAAATATTATAACTTATATAAGATACAATTTTCTAGACAAAATTCTCTAAATGATAAGTAATCTTAGCTTATTACTATAAGACCTAAGACCTAAGCCCACAAGCAAACAGACCGAAAGAGCAATATTATTTATGTACTGTATAGGGATTTAGAGATAACAAAAAGTATGATACGGCTAGACTGTAGTTATTACTTATTATTGTTACGCAGATATGCATTCATAGTATAATTTTCTGGGCCATTTACTTTCTACGATGGCTGAAACGGACGTATCTCCATTATGAAGATCCACATTTAGAATAAAATGAAAAATTATATGCTTGAGTTTTCATATCTGTTAATAAATAAAATACCAAAATAGTTTTACAGAAATCGTGCATTTACTTGAAAAATCCTTGTTTTTTAAGGTTTTTTATGTAGATAGGTAAATTCTATTGATATATAAATTTTCAATTATGATTATGGTCGAATTACGACCACTTGTTTTTATTAATAGGACACTTTCTTGTATGCAAAGTAAATAAAAAAAAAACACGTACTACTTTTTTTATAAAATTGGTGAACTGATGTGGAGGTATAAGGTCCCTGCCGTTACCCTGTTTAAATAACAACACACCTAATAAAAAGTAAAAAATAATCGCAATTGTGTAAATATACGCGAAATTTAAAAGTGAAATAATATTATGTACTTATATAATAAAATATAGCCATTTTATGTTGAACCGGTACTGAAAGTAAAGGATAATTTAAAGATGAAAAATGAATAAAACTAAAATATTGTATCGAAGGGAGTACGAAACACTCGGCGCACGACTCGTTAAACAAATTTATTTAATTTATATATCTTGTAAAAATAAACCAAACCTAAAACACTAAAAAAACCGCATACAAAAACAAAGTGTTGATAGTAAAATAGCAAGCAGTAACATCACCAACATATATATATAAACCACAAATATTAGACGTCAAATATTCAAAACTTAGTCGCTGGGAACGTAACCGCTACTATTTCGTGAATTTCTAAACTTTATACAAATAAGCTGCCACCCTCAGGCAGTGAGATTTGGTGAACGATTTGTTAAAAGTATATATACTACGAGTATTAACACGATATTAGATTCTTTATAAAAAGACTTTATAAAAAACCTATATATAGGGTTTTCACGTGGGTATACAATAGAGAGAGTATTTTTAAAGTTTCCAGACGTCATACTAGTAGATACTAAAAATATTTTATTGTTCGCAATAATGTTAGTATTGTTAGGACAACATCGAGCTCTTATTTAAAAAAAAACGAAAATAAAAAGAGAACAACTAAATATATCATGTCTACACGTTGACATACAAAAACCTTGAGGCTTTGTATGATGTTAGCGTCTCACAAATATCCTCAAAAGAAGTGGACTACAAAATTGAATTGCGTTTTTTTTTCAAACCTCTTTTCTTCGGTGCTTTTCAGATGACATAATTAAAACGCACATTGTTTCGTTTAAAAAAGTACTTTATGTGGTGTGCGTAAGTTCGAGTTTGTGTTTAGACAATTAGAACTTTCGGTTTTTAAATATTATATTAACATCACATATCGACGCTACTTTTTGAAGAGATATTTGTTAGGGAAACTTTATCTATGTTTTTTATAATGAATGTGTCATTACTTAAAATTACGTTAAGGGTTATGTAGCTGGTAACAATAAATTTCTTATGGGTAATGTCATCTTTTTGCATCCTGACAGAATCCTATATATTTATCCAGGTCATAGCCTATGTGTGTATTCTACATTCAAATCGATTAAACTTCTTTCAGCCGTTTCCGCGTAAAGGAGCGCAAACGTGTATACACGCACACACTCACATATACTAATATCAAATCTCTACAATTTCCACCATCAACATTCAAACTAGATAAATGGTTTAAAAAATATAACTTAATGTAACATTAACTTTTTTACTATCTAGGTTCGATACTGATATGGGAGCTATTAGCGCAAAAGTGGTCTTATCTTATAACATTTTTTTATAAAAATGGGGAAAATATTACACTATATTTTATAATGTACTTAGTACGATGATAGATTAAATACTAAATTGCATACATTATAAATATAATATATGAATCCATACTAATATCACGACACAACGCCTGAACGGATCTGGATGAAAGGCACAGAGATATCTAAATCATTTTATCCCGGAAAAATATACGGTTCCCATGGGATAGGTTTGTGTTTGTTTTCCGAGCGTAGCGAGGGTGAGGCGGTAGTAATATAATAAATACAGCAAAAATTACAACTTTCTTTCATACATACATATGCGAATATCTCTTAATCTGAAAAATCTGCTCTCGCAAGTCTTATCAGAGTAATTAGCTACTCGTACTCCCAGTCTAGTCCAGTAGGGTGCGATGGGATATCCATGTGAATGTCCGTATGATGAATTCTCAGTACATAATCGAAAATACAAGTTTTGTCTGTTAAGATGAAGGCAATCAGGCAATGTGGCTGGCGCTCATCCAAATAATAAATAAGTTCATAAATAATAAAAAACTGATTTCACAAAATATAACACAAATAAAACACAAGAAAAATTAACAACCCTTATTTTATTCTAATAGGTGGTGGTTTATCTTCGGAAAAATATGTCTTCTGTCTTTGGAAGTTTAATTTATATAATAACAAAATCATATAAAACAAAAATCTATTACTTTTCAAAGATTTAATAATGTAGAAACTTAAAAAAATAAAGTGTGCCATAGTAAAACACTCTTTTTCCTTAAATTGGTAAAAACATCGCTTCTCTATAATTTCGTTCGTGTTTCGTTTCAATTTTTGCTACAGCC